AGGGAGGGAGGGAGGGAGGGAGGGAGGGATCCAGTGTTCAAAAAATACATTTTGTCTTATTATCTTTGGATATTTCGGAGACTTTCAGAGTTATTTACTTTTTCACATTTTCATTTATTTCTTATCTTAATGTCAGTGTTTCCAAATATAGTATGATATGATTTATATGCTATCTAAAATTAAACTATTTTTTTAAATCTTAAAAAATAATACACAAAAAAGGCTTTAAGATTTAAAAACAAAGGAAAACTGTTTTCTGGTGGTGTTCCCCCGCCCCTGTTTTTTAGGGCTAGAAGAGATAGAATTTAGGGATAGATCTAGAGATAGAATTCTATGTTTGTGTCCATAGCTTATGCAAGATATGCTTCTTTACAATTCTCTTTCTATTACCATCTCATCTTCTGTTCCATGTAATGTCAAAGTTTGAATGATTTTCCTCAGTATATTGGATTATTGCTTTACTTATAATTTCATGATATTCTTCTGCTGCTGGGCACATGTCTTTCTTTTTAAAAATGTATATTTTATTGATTAATTCTAATATTTATTTTGAAGGACTTTGGATGGAAAATTGACTTAAAATGTTAATATAAATAAAACAACATTGCTTCTGAAATTGTGGGGCGTTGCAAAATCAGGTTACTGTATTGATGTGGGAACTTGCTTTCAAAAAAGGAGGTCAGGCCTCTATTGATAGTTATTGATTTCAAGAAGCTAAACTAAAATATAATGTACAGTATGAAATGTACAATTAACAATGACAAATGTCTGCCTGCAGGCTTATAATTTTAAATAAACAGACATACAAATAAAAAGAAGAATGGGAACAGAATAATTCAGTCAAATCTCTGATCCGGCTTGCTCAACGTTGCCTAATCTGTCAACAGCTCCCTGGGATTTCAGATGCAAGATTTTATGTATTTATTTTATTTATTTGTTCATTTTCTATATTTCCTAGGCTTATCAGGGTGATTGAACATATTAACACTAAGGCATCCTATATACAAGAGAGTTGTACTATCATGGAGATATGGGCTTTCTGGAGTGGAAAAACAGGAATAGGAAAATATGGTAGAGAAAGAGAAACTCTTAGTTCAAAAACAATCAATTATTGAATAATAAATAATGCCTGCCATGTGGCTCATTCTGAAGAGTGGGTAGAATATCTTTGTGCTTTTATCAGAGTATTGTGGCTGATAGTATTGTATGCTGAGGAGAGAAACTTCATCTACATTTAGTGGAACTGCTTAAATGAAATATGTTTTTCATCTTTCCCCCCCAGTCTGCTGGAAACCATGTTTCACTACACAGATGAACCCAGATTCACCATAGAGCAAATAGATCTACTTCAACGCCTGCGGCGTACTGGTATGACACGCCACGAAATCCTCCATGCTTTGGAAACCTTTGACCGTCTTGACCAGGAACATAGTGACAAGTTTGGGCGGCGGTCTGCCTATGGGAGTGGATCCTGTAGTAACAGCACCAACAATGTTCCAGCGTCTTCCTCTACAGCCACAGCTTCCACACAGACCCAGCACTCTGGGATGTCCCCATCTCCAAGCAACAGTTATGATACCTCCCCACAACCTTGCACTACCAATCAAAATGGGAGGGAGAGTAACGAGAGGTTGTCTGCCTTCAATGGGAAGATGTCGCCCACACGGTACCCTCTGGCAAATAGCATGGCTCAAAGGTCATATAGCTTTGAAGCCTCGGAGGAGGACTTGGATGTAGATGATAAAGTAGAAGAATTGATGAGGTAGGCAAAGTTGTATATTATGGATGAAGAATTAGCCATTCCCAACTTCTTTCTCTTACCGTTCCCTGCAAAGGCACTTCAGGAAGTTGGATAGTTCTGAATTGCTTTGTTTACTTTCCCAGATCAAAGCTTAGTTGTCTTAGGACAGTTGGATTGAAGGGAGAACTTAGCTCTTTGTTCATCTGGTGCATTCTTCACAGCCTTAGTTTGGATTTGGATGATTATCTAATGCAAAAACTGACATGGTGAAACTACCAATGAGTGACACTTCTGACATGGCAACTAATCATTTGAACCCTTGAATGCATTGTTTAGGTCCAGAAAGGTTCAAGCATAACAGTTTCCCCAACCTAGTGTCTTTCAATCATCCTCTATTAGAATAGGTCAAGAAAAGCTGTTGTGGGGATCTTTTTTGGTTTAATGAAGAAAATAGATACTCCAAAATAGAATTCTGATGCCAAGCACTGGACTTGGAAGACAGTTGCTTTGTGTAGTTTAGCGGAACATAGGCCAGGAGTGAATATGGATTTTTAAAAGACCCAATGTGTCTACATTAATATATAAACAAATAATCAGACATAGTTAAGAAAAAAAACCCACAATTATTTGGATTAATATATGAGTCAGCAATAAAGTAATATGTATTGGCTATAATTATGCAAACTCTAAAATTGAACTCAGCATATATATATATATATATATATATATATATATATATATACACACACACACACACACATGCATACATTATCCACACCAGAGTATCATATTTATGCACATTAAATTGTATTTTACATGGTTTATCTGATTTTGCCAGAATAAAAAGAAACAAAGAATCAAGGAATATAATGCTTAAATTTAGAATTACTTTTAAGACTGAAAGTACTACTGTAGTATGGTTTTTCATTCAGTTATAAAAGAATGAAAATTTAAAGAAATTTAAAGAGCTATGGATGTGACTTTTACTTTTTGGCCATGCAACGTTGGAACAGCAGATTTGTATATCTATTGACTGCTTCACCACATCAGTTACTAAAATTTGGGTCTATTACTTCTGTTTATTACTCAGCAAAGCATGTTTTCTACCCAGTGTCCATTCTCACAAATCCATTCTAATTAGTTTCATAGTGAATATTGCTTCTTTTCCTAGCATTGAGAAAATGAACAGTGATAATTAGGATAGATTTAATAGTCTAGAGCAGATAGATTTATGAGGCGTAATTATGAAATAGCCAATTCTGTCTTCCTGACCTGTTTGTGGAATTTGTTGCTCCATTTTGCTTCTCACTCCCACAGAAACCCATTCATACAGATCAGCTTTATGTTATGCTTTGCACTGATGTGCGCAACACATGAGCCACAGTGGTGCAGTAGTTAGAATGCAGTCCTGCAGGCTACTTCTGCTGATCACTGGCTGCCAGCAGTTTGGCAGTTCGGTTCTCACCAGCTCAAGGTTGACTCAGCCTTCCATTCTTCTGAGGTTGGTAAAATGAGGACCCAGATTGTTGGGGGCAATGTACTGACTCTGTAAACTGCTTAGAGAGGGCTGTAAAGCATCATAAAGCGGTATATAAGTCTAAGTGCTGTTGCTATATTCTTTAGTTCCCCTTAATGAATTTCAGAGTAGCTGTTCACTGAGTAACACATGTGTGTTGGTTGTGGGAAGAAACTAATTGCAGTACTACAGATCTCCACACCAAAATAAAGAAGATGGGGTAGAATCATTCTATATGTAATACCAGACACATTTAAATTGTCCCTACTTCTAATAAATTTAATAAATAAACAAAATAACCTCTGCTTTAATAATTGAAGCAATAATTTGCTTCAGGTACAATCTGGTTCTTAAATCTAGGTGTCAATGTGGTTTGCTCTGGTTTCTCCTTTTAGCAATATTTCCTTTGTGGGAGCCTCATTTAAAGATAGAAACTGTTACTGCTGCCGTTTCCCCTCCTCCCACCCCCCCCAAGATGTTAGTTGCAGAGATTTATTCATCCCCTGTAATGAAACTTTGTACATTCCATATGACTTGCATGAATTTATACAGACCGCGACTCATCCATTTTCCTTGTATGCTTTGATCCACCAATGACACTGATTAAAAGAAATGTCTGCTGGCAAAGGCAATATATCAACCCCCTCCCCATCATCCACCACAAATGCATCTTCAAATTCTACTTTGCTCCTCTCTCTCTGTCTCTTTTTATTTTTCTAACTCCACACGTTTTGATAGGAGGGACAGCAGCGTGATAAAAGAGGAAATCAAAGCCTTCCTGGCCAACCGGAGGATTTCTCAAGCAGTTGTTGCACAGGTTACAGGTAAGAGCTTGCAAATGTCCCCTTTTCTATTCTGAAGTGTTGCTACATCATCTTGCTCATTTGCTGGTTAGTGCAGGTGTTGGCATATTGCGAGGCATTCTGCATTGCAGTAGATATCTGTCAGGGTAGTTATAATATATGCCTTTGATTTAATATCCATTGTCATACATGTCATGGAACTTCCTCAGTGAATCAGTGCTTTTATTCTCCTTCTCTAATACTGCCTGATTTTTTCCTCAGCCCCCCTCCATTCAATGGTTCATACTAGCAGGATTTTCCCCCTATAATATTATAATGAGTATCAAGTACTTTTGAAATGGCTTTTTTAAAAATTCTAAAAGTCACATATGGTGATCTTGTTTCAGTGTAGAAAAGTGCATCCTTTGGACTAGCTGATTTCAGGAAGACATTAGTTCAGTTCACAGGACATTTACTTGGAAAAGTTTTTAATTATACTTGGTATATTACATCCATAATTTGACCTTTCTACTTAAGCTATGTGGGTAATACTACTCCCGCACATGCTTAGTTTCCCAATGCTTACCTTTTACAGATAGTCCCCTGGTTAAGAATGAGTTCTGTTCCAAGGTCTGTCCTTAAGTTGAATTTGTATTTCAGCTGGAACAATATTATTGTATAATACTGTGTAAGTGAATATTGTGTAATGATCTTGAACTATTTTATATTTAATTTGAATCATTTTCTATTTAATTTAAATTTTGCTACAATAGGTCTTTAAACAATGTGTTCTTACCCAATGACTTGCTTGATTTGTAATATTCATATATAATAAAGATGCTGTACAAATACAATGTGCAGACATATATAGTATATGTAGAAGTCTTTAAGAAGATGTTGGATAGCCATTTGTCTGGAACGGTATAGGGTTTCCTGCCTAGGCAGGGAGTTGGACTAGAAGACCCCCAAGGTCCCTTCCAACTCTGCTATTGTATTGTATAGTAATTTTATATTTGTATTCCACCTTTTACTCTAGGATTTTAAGATAGCATACACAGTTCTCTCTTTCATCCCATTCCCCCCCCCCCCCATAATTTCTAGTGTAGTGACGATCCAAAATGAACTCAATAAGCTTCCTAACTTTGGAGGAATTTGGATATTCTCAGTATTAATACAACATTTTAACTATATGAAACTTGGTCCTCCAAGTGGAGACTCTTTAAATAAACTGATCCCCATTTATAAAAACACATTGTTGAAATAGTTATTTCCAATCAGTTCAAAATTTCAGGAAGAAGAGAGAAAACTCTCTGTATAAGGGGACTTATTCAGGTGAGTATATATTTTAAATTCAGATTTAATGTCCAGTTCAATTTCCTGTACATCTAATTTAAAAGTAAGAGTGCTAAAAAAAACCCTCTCCGAATTAATGTAGATAATACTGGTCTACATGGATCAGTAATCTGACTTAGTAAATCCATTGCTTACTTTGCTACTGACAGTGCTTATGTTTTGAGGCATCTCAAAAGAAGGTGTAATCTAAGAATTATCTCTAGTTGCCTTTGCTTGATTTTGTTGCATGGTTAATTCAAAAGTTGACATTCTGTAAAACAAGTTAGAGAGCTTTGGTGACTAGTAGTTAGAGTGATTGGAATGAGATAGTTGCTGCCTTCTGAGCTTAGAATTTGTTCAGGTAGTCCTCAGTTGATGACCATTCCTTTAATAATAGTTCAAAGTTACAATGGCCTTGGAAAAAGTGACCTACAACCTATCTTGACCATCACATCACCCCCGCAGTCACATGCAATTCAGGTGCTTGGCAACTGGCTTGCATTTATGACAGTTACAGTGTCTTGTGATTATATTATCACAATTTGCAGCCTTCCCAACCGGCTTCTGACAAACAAAATCAATTGTGGATGTCAGATTCATTTTAACAACTACGTGAGTCACTTAATAACCATGTGATTCATTTAACAACTTTGGTAAAAAGGGTCACAAAATCATGTCTGGCCACCTGACGACTTGTTAATGACCACATCGCTTAGCGATCAAAATTCCATCCCAATTGTGTAAGTCAGGGACTCTTTGCTACTTTATCAGAATGACTCCTCAAATATCAGTGGTTAACATGGCTAGACTTATATTGACTATGGCCTACCAGCATTCCTTTTATGGCCCCCTGAGTGGGTGAGGCCAAAAAAATTGTCCCAGTTGTTCATTTTTGGAGGAATTGAGGAAGATTGTAAGGACAAATTGCATGCTTTCAACCTTACAGAACTAAGGATTAGTATCTGTAGGACACAGAAATAATTTCTCAAGTATGCATCAGGTATCTAACATATGTATAATGTATATGATGCATATTTTTCTATGCAGTTGATATAGAGAATTACTTACGAACAGTTGTGAATTTCAAATTTCCATTTTCAAAGTAGATAGAGGGATTTACTGAGTTCCTTCACTCCAATCTCTTCACTTTTATTTCTTCCCAATCTCTCATTAACATATAAAACGTTGCAGAAAACAATAGCTGATATTATAGTAACTTAAAAATCTGGCTGGTGTTCTTCTCCAACAGCTTCCAGGATAATTTAGAAATGAAGCAATATCACCACAGTTAGGGGAATAAACACATGACTTACAACAGTTCATTTAGTGACTGTTCAAAGTTACAATGGCAGTTCAAAAAGTGACATGACCAGTTTTCATGCACTTGCAGCCTCCCCATGATCAAAATTCAGATGCTTGACAGATGGTTCATATTTATGATGATTGCAGTGTCCCAGAGTCATGTGATCAGCTTTTGCAACCTCCGGACAAGCCAAGTCAATGGGGAAGCCAGATTCACTTAACAGCTGTGTTAATAACAACTGCAGTGATTCACTTAACAACTGTTGCAAGAAAGCAAAACTCACTTAACAAATGTCTCACTTAGACTTAGCAACATAAATGTTGGCCTCAACTTTTGGCCTCAACTGTGGTTGTAACTTGAGACTACCTGCTCAAAGTTACAATGGCACTGGAAAAAGTGACTGATGTACCTTTTTCACAGTTACAACTTTTGTAGCATCTCTTTGATCATATGATCAAAATTCAAGTTCTTGGCATCTGGTGACCATTGCTGTGTCCCAAGGTCATGTGATCATGTCAGATCACTCTCACAAGCAGAGTCAATGGGGAAGCCAGATTCACTTAACAACTGGGTTAATAACTTTTCAGCGGCAGTGATTCACTTAACAACTGTGGCAAGAGAGGTCATAAAATGGAACAAAACTTACTTAACAAATATCTTACTTAGCAACCAAAATGTTGGGCTCAATTGTGGTCATAAGTTGAGAACTACCTGTACAGCATATACAGAGAGGATAGGGAATCTATAATCCCCCAGACCTTAGTCAATTGCCTCTCCTATCATCTTTCATACTAATCCCTGCTGTAGCTGTATAATAAGCCTAACAGTATTTCTCTGCCTGGAAATGGCCTAGACGCCAGCTAGTTGCAACTGATTCTCCTCACACAATGTAGTATTATATCTCCAGAGTGATTTCTGTAAAAATGCAGAGTACTCAGATGATCTTTGAAACTCTGGAAGCCTTGCAGCTTATTTTGGTTATACGTTGCTCTTTGAATTTGTGATATAAGTGTGTAGAATATTTTTAGTGTGTGTTCCTTGCCGTTCAGAAGAAGATAATGTTCAGTTAGGCCATAATTAGTGCCTTTGTTTCCTATGTGCCAATCATGTAAGTAAATAATAAGCAGAGTGTTTTCAGAAGTGAAGGCTTTACTGTTAACATTCAAATTATTCAACACTTGAAGGTAGACTTTTAGGCATTCATGGTCAAATTTAATGTTTCAGTGAATACCCAGGTGAACAGAAGCTGACACATCCTGTACATGGGGCATAGTTAAACACAACATCTTTCTGCAGATTTAAATGCAGATTCATTATTTAAGCTCAGGTGCTGCAGATTCATAATAAGAAAGTTATGTGTATGGCTGTGCAGAACCTTGGACACTCATTTAGTCAATGCTTTGTAATGCCTCTTTTGGCAAAACAAGTTTCAAACTACTGTATTACCTTTGGTCATTAAGACCCTTTCTATTCTTGCTTTTGGAATTTTTGTCCCTCTTCTTTGGAAACTCTTCTAACTCAGAAATATTCTTAAATCTTTCCCCTTTTTCAATAACAATCAACTGTGGGGACTGCAAAGACCACTTCAAAACCCTGGTGAAAAATATCCACCCTCTTTTTGTCTTCAGTTTTCTTCACTGACTTAAATGCTTCATTTCCTTTTCTCCAAGTGTTATCTCACATGGTTGTGGTTGAACAGTTCAATCTTTGTTTTATCAGTCCAAAGCACTTTGTTCCAAAATGTTTCCAACTTATCAAAGTTTCCTTTTGCATATTTTAAAATATAATTTCTGTGATGAGGTCAGAGAAAAAGTTTCCTTCTGTCAACTCTCTTGATACAAATCTTTGCTCTGTAGGCAACAGTGTACTGTGGACAGTTAACCTCTTCAGCAAATCGTGATCCTTGGGATCTCTTTTGCAAATCTTGACAGGTTCTGGGTAGCTCCCACAATTTTTCTTGATCTTCCAGTTCTGCCTTGACTTCAGCAATTCCATGAACTTCCTTCCCCTCCTTCCCTACGTTACCAACCAATTGTTCTCCTGAATGTGAAGGAGTGATTGTTATGAATCAGAGCTGATAATGACAGTTCTGAAGAAGAGGATAAGCTCGATTTTTTTTGAGAATTTTTTTTATTGTTTTAGTTAAACAAAAAGACAACAAAAAATCATCTTTCGTTACATCTTGTTGAAAGCGTATCGATTGGTTACAAATATATTCCGTGTGTTTCTTCCACAAGAAACTCAGTCATTCAAATCAGGTTGTACATTTTAAGTCAAGAAAGAAAAGTTATGTATTTTACTATTCCTGTACTATAATTCTCATTTAGTTACCATTGTTTAAACATGTTTTCATCTAGAATATTTATATTAAAAGACA